ATGAAAAACCATCTCATAATGGACCTGCTTTTCTTCATAATGGATAAGGGCTAGTATTTGCTAAGTCTGAGAAATCATCATCACAGTCTTGTCATTGATGAATTATATAGTGGCCACCTCAGAAATCTGAATCACTAAAGCTTCCTTTACTCACCTCATTGCCATATAAACTGACTAGATTGGGATGGGAGAAAAAGATGGAGGCTTACAAACATCCTCTCCAGCATCACCCAGGCACTAAGAGCAGTGGGGTGGCCAAGGTCCCAGTCCTAGGGCTTTTAGATTTCCACTGATACAACTCTAGGGGATTTGATGGATGCGCTTGTTGGTTCATCATATCCTTCCCTTTCTGTAGGCAAATCTGTAAGTGTCACCAGAAGGTGGCCCAGTGAGCATGAAACCTCACGGGTGGGATAGGGGAGGCTCCATGGTTCTAATGGCTGATGCCACCCTGCTTCAGTGGCCTGATGCCTCCATGTCGGTTATTAGGGCAGGCCTACTGTAGGGATTGGCACATTGGTTTCTTCCTATGTTATTATGCAAATGATTAGGTTTAGACTTAACCTCATCCAGTGCAGTCCAGCTCCTATTTTCCAGAGATGACAATACACCTAGGCTATTTAAATTTGATCTGGGTGTTGCTGAGACTGTTGCACACCCACAAGTAATCCAATAATCTCTTTGGCTGGTGTCTAACCTCATTCTTTTTTTTTTTTTTTTTTTTTTTTTTTTTAATTTTTTTTTTGTTTATATGTTTTGGGGTACATGAGCAGAGCATGCAAGACAGTTGCGTAGGTACACACATGGCAGTGTGCTTTGCTTTTCTTCTCCCCTTCACCCACATTTGGCATTTCTCCCCAGGCTATACCTCCCCACCTCCCCCTCCCACTGGCCCTCCCCTTTTCCCCCCAATAGACCCCAGTGTTTAGTACTCCCCTCCCTGTGTCCATGTGTTCTCATTTTTCATCACCCACCTATGAGTGAGAATATGCGGTGTTTCATTTTCTGTTCTTGTGTCAGTTTGCTGAGGATGATGTTTTCCAGATTCATCCATGTCCCTACAAACGACACGAACTCATCATTTCTGATTGCTGCATAATATTCCATGGTGTATATGTGCCACATTTTTCCAATCCAGTCTATTATCAATGGGCATTTGGGTTGATTCCAGGTCTTTGCTATTGTAAACAGTGCTGCAATGAACATTCGTGTACATGTGTCCTTATAGTAGAACGATTTATAGTCTTTTGGATATATACCCAGTAATGGGATTGCTGGGTCAAATGGAATTTCTATTTCTAAGGCCTTGAGGAATCGCCACACTGTCTTCCACAATGGTTGAACTAATTTACACTCCCACCAACAGTGTAAAAGTGTTCCTTTTTCTCCACATCCTCTCCAGCATCTGTTGTCTCCAGATTTTTTAATGATCGCCATTCTAACTGGCGTGAGATGGTATCTCAATGTGGTTTTGATTTGCATCTCTCTGATGACCAGTGACGATGAGCATTTTTTCATATGATTGTTGGCCTCATATATGTCTTCTTTCGTAAAGTATCTGTTCATATCCTTTGCCCACTTTTGAATGGGCTTGTTTGTTTTTTTCCTGTAAATCTGCTTGAGTTGTTTGTAAATTCTGGATATCAGCCCTTTGTCAGATGGGTAGACTGCGAAAATTTTTTCCCATTCTGTTGGTTGCCGATCCACTCTAGTGACTGTTTCTTTTGCCGTGCAGAAGCTGTGGAGTTTCATTAGGTCCCATTTGTCTATTTTGGCTTTTGTTGCCAATGCTCTTGGTGTTTTGTTCATGAAGAAAAAATATGGAATGCTTCACGAATTTGCGTGTCATCCTTGCGCAGGGGCCATGCTAATCTTCTCTGTATCGTTCCAATTTTAGTATATGTGCTGCCGAAGCGAGCACACCTCATTCTTTTTATTTAGATCCCATTGATTTTATTTTCAGTTTTGGGGATACTTTGGGGTATCATCCCAACATACTGCTTGTATAAATACTGTCTCCTTAATTCCACGAATGAACATTACAGAGAGTTAGTGTTATTCTTATTTTATAGTTGAAAAAAACCTAACATTAACAGGTTTGGTAACTTGTCCAAAATCTTCTGCGTTATAAAAAGTTATTTCCCATCCTGATTAGTCCAGCCAGTTAATTCACTGTTTTATACAACTTTATTAAAGAAAAATAAATCAATTACTAGAACTATTAGTTGATTACTCATTAATTGACTACTTGCATCATTTATTTAGTGCTATACTAAACAGTGTATTGGAAGATGAATTAACTAATAGCTCCAAGTCTCCTAACAAGTTAAATGAAAAATACAAAATGCTTGAAGACCCTACTTTGGAAGACAACAGGTGTTTACTGTGCGACCCCCTTGTAGACCCCTGCCCGGTACCCGACCCCAAATAACAGCTCGAGAGTTGGAAGCCGAGTTCAGGTTTATTGGGACCAGCGGGCAGGCCAGGAAAGGAAGGAGATCAGGGCTGGCTGCGACTGCGCAGCTGGGGTAGGAGGGTTTTATGGGGGGGTGGACGGGGCGTGGACACAGAGCTGGCGGAGTGTCGTAGGAGCTTAGGATAGGCTGTCCGTCTCTGGGCAGACTGCTGAGGTGGCTCAGAGGGTTACCTGTCGGTTCAGGATAGGCCGAGGCTTGGCGGGCTTTCCTGCTGCGATGATTGGCTGCTTGTTGTTGCTGGGCGGAACAGAGCAGGCTTGGCGGGCTTTTCTCAGGGCAGCAGGAAGCCTGGGGGGAGGGTGGGGGCAAGAAACCTGGGGGAAAGATGGCGGGACTTTCTACCAAACATTTACTTCTAATTTCCATTCTCTATAGAACAAGAACAGATCATTCCTTTATTGACATACATAAAATACATGGCACTTTCTGTTTTGCTCCAACAACATCAATTATGAGCATAGAGTATATCATGTAACCAAAAGTCTTGAACAGTGAAAGGCTTAAGCAATAATGGATGCTGGTGCCATGCTCATCGTACAGCTTGCAGAACTGTGAGCCACATAAACCTCTTCTTTATAAATTACTTCAGCCTCAGGTATTCCTTTATAGCAACACAAAACAGGTGAAGACAAAAAATTAGTACTGAGGAGTGGGATGTTGCTATAAAGATACTTGAAAATGTGGAAATGGCTTTGGACTGGTTAATGAGCAGAGGATGGAAGTTTGGAGGGCTCAGAAGAAGCTAAAAAGATTAGGAAAAATTAGGAACTTCTTCGATATTGGTTAAATGGTTGTGACCAAAATGCTGATAGAAAAATAGACAGTAAAGGCCATGCTGACAAAGTCCCAGATGCAAATGAGAAACTTACTGGGAACTGAAGCAAATGTCACCCATCTTATGCAAAGAACTTGGCTGCATTGTGTTCATGGCCTAGGGCTTTGTGGAAGACCAAACTTAAGAGTGATGACCTAGGGCATCTGGTGCAAGAAATTTCTAAGCAGTAAAGCATTCAAGAACTGGCATGGCTGCTTTTAACAGCTTATGATCAGATATGGCAGCAAAAGAATGATCTAAAGGTGGAATTTCTAATTAAAAGAGAAACAGAGCATAACAATTTGGAACATTTATTACTTGGTCATGTGGTAGAGAAGGAAAGAATATTTTCAGGTGATGAATCCAAGGGTGATGTGGAGCAATGACTTGCTAGAGAGATTAACATGGATAAAAGGGAACCAGGTGCTAACAGAACAAAGGGGAAAAGGTCTCAAAGACATTTCAGAAATCTTTGAGGTCATCCCTCCTATCACAGACTCAGAGGCCTATGAGGACAGAATGGTTTCAGGGGACAGGCCTGGGGTGCTTTTGCCCTGTGCCACCTCAGGATGTGGGGAGCTGTTGTGAACTGAATGCGAGCCCCGGAATCTCGTCCAGCGAGAGGGTCCCAAACCTGGAAGAGAGCGCACGCCGGAATAAAGGAGATAGAAAAGGCGAGGTCTGGAGGGCTACATGTGCTATGCTCATGCAGCAATTTTATTTTTGCAATGTGTTTCATTATATACTTTTCTAAAGTTAAAGTTGTTTATACCAGATTAACGTACTTAAGTTACAGTAAGCAAGTTACACCCAGTAAGTAAGTTAAGCGCAGTAAGTAGGCTACGCCCAGTAAGTAGGTTACTTTCAGTAAGTAGGTTACGCCCAATAGGTCAAGGTAAGTAGATTACAGTCACGCCCTGTAAGCTATGGTAAGTAAATTACAGTTACGCCCTGTAAGTTACGGTAAGTAAGTTACCAAGTGTAAATATTTAAGTTAATATTTTACAATGAAGGTAACAAGGGTCCAAAATGAACACAATCAAGCAATAAACCATAAGAAGCCAAACGTGGACACATTGCCTCCCAAGTCCTCATATCCCATAAAGTAATGTCTATTAATTATTTAGAATAACATAGTCCCTCTCTCAGTTCCTGCTTTCCCTCAGCTCGACTCCCCCAACCAGGGATCTGTGTCCGGGCTCAAGCTCACCGTATGGTGAGGCCAATTTCCTAGGGGCCTCACACAGGAGCGATCCCCACAGATTCCCTCAGGGAGCATCCTAATTGCTCTAGCTCTACCCTGAGCCCACACAGCCCCAGGTATCACTCAGGCTGCTGCTCCAGAGAGTGTAAGCCTTAAGTTCTGGCAGCTTCCACATGGTATTGTCTGCAGGCTCCCAGAATGCAAGAGTGATGGAGGCTTGGCAGCTTCCACCTAGATTTCAGAGGACGTATTGGAAAGCCTGAGCACCCAGGCAGAAACCTGCCACATGGGCAAGTCACTGCAGAGAAACTCTATTAGGGCAGTGCCTAGGAGCTGTGGAAGCAGGGCTGCTGGCCTCCACCCTAGAATTATGGAGTCACCAGCAACATGCACCTCAGTCTGTAAAAGCCTCAGGCACTCCACTGCAACCCCTAAGAGCAGCCATGTAGGTAGCGCTCAGCAAAGCCATAGGGGAAGCCTGAGGCATTGGGAGCCCATCCCTCAAACCAATGTGCCCAGAATGCAGGACATGGAGTCAAAGTTTATTTTGGAGCTTTCAGATTTAATGTCTGCCCTACTGGGTTTCAGACTTGTGAGGGCCTGTTAACCTTTCTTTTGGCCAGTTTCTCCCTTTGGAAATGAAAATGTTTACCTAATGCCTGTACAACCATTGCATCTCAAAATTAAATAACTTGTTTTTGATTTTACAGGCCCATAGCTGGAAGGAATTTGCCCTGAGTCTCAGATGAGACTTTGGACTTTGGACTTTTAAGCTGGTGTTGGAACAAGTTAATGCTTTTGGGACTATGAATTTTGCAAGTGAGAAGGACATGAGTTTTGGGGGAAAGGGGCAGAATGCTTTGGATGTTTGTCTCCCCAGGCCTCATGTTGAAATTTGATACCAATGCTGGAAGTGGGACCTAATGGAAGATACTGGGTCAGGGAGGATGACCCCTCATGAATAGATTAAAGGCCTCCCTGGGTGGGCTGGGGGGGCAGGTGGAGTGAGTGAGTTCTCATTCTGTTATGCTGGTTGTTAGATCCCATGAAAGCTTGTTGATAAAAAGAGCCTAGCACCTCCCTGCTCTCTCTTGCTTCCTCTCTCACCAGGTAATCTCAGCACATGCTTGCTCTCCTCCTTTCCCTTCTGCCAAGACTAGAGACAACCTGTAGCCCTCACCAGAAGCTGAAAAGATGGTGGCACCATACTTATTGTATAGCCTGCACAACCATGAGCCATTTAAACCTCTTTTCTTTATAAATTACCCAGCCTCAGGTATTCCTTAATAACAACACAAAATAGACAAAGACTCCATCTCAAACTTGGTCTATCCAAAGTTACACATTTGATATTTTCCCCAAATCTCAGCTAAGTGTATCTTCATCCATCCAGTTAGTCGTGCCAGAATCTGGGACTCAGACTTTCTGCTCTCTTCTCCTCAACTCCCATGAGCTAACCCCTTACCAAGTTCCATGGATCCTGCCTCCAAAATAAATCTTGGGTCTGTCTACCTCACTCCATCTCCACTTCCACCATTTATGGAAGTCCAAATCACCATTCCCAGCTGGCATACAGCAGGAACCTCAACTGGTCTCCTTGATTCCACTCTTACTGTGCCACCAGCACTGCCATCACCACCAAAGTGCCTCTCTCCCTGGATAGTTCTAGATTAATTCCTGCTCTCTGACTCTCTTTTCCTAAGCTTCTAAGTGCTTTCTTCAAGTTTGTTAATGAAAAGTATGTTAATGGTTCCTCAGGGTGATCTCTGTGAATCTATTTTATTGCATATGGATTTTACTAGTTTAACTTTCATTGTCAGTCTTTTCTCCAAGTTCATCAAGAAACTGTTTGGTTTTTTCCTTCTTCTTCTTCTTTCTTTTGTTGTGCATAGCTAGGTTTAAGTAACTAAACAGCTGATGAAGCAGTGAAGAAAGCCATGGTCAGGGTTTTATAACTGTTGCGACTTTGGGAATACCAAGGACCAATGGCACACTGATTTTTCTTGCTAGTACACAATGTAATCCAGACCTGCAATAACCCAGTATCTCCGATGAGTTAAGGGGAGACTTTAACCCATCACAGACACCAGGTTATTGCGGGTTATCCAGACCCAGTATCTGTGTTGGGTTAGTCTCCCCTAGATATGTGGTCCCAGAGGCTAAATTTTTAATTAATTAAATTTTAAACTCCAAATAAGTTTTTTTCTTTTTTTTCAGGGGATAACATGAATGTAGTTCCTCACTACCATAAATTATGCAGTCGAGTTTCCTGCACCTGGGAGAATCGCAGGAGTAAGCACAGCTATGGGGTGCAATGAGTGAGCCTCACCCTGGGAAACCACCTTCATGATCATGGCATCTCCCCTGCCCGGTAAGTATCCAAGTAAGTTTTGATAGTAGAGCTTTATCAACAACTTGTTCGTTGTATTCAGTGGAGAGAGTGTTTCAAAGTGCTGGGCTGTTTGGGAAAGTTAAGCAGAGGCCCAGAGAAGTTGTGCCACACAGGCCACCAGCAAAGGCAAAGCCAGCAATTTTACGGCTTATTCAGTAAAATGCCTGGAAAAGTCTGTTCCTCAGCACTGTGAATGCTGGTCTTTGTTAGGAAATTATGCAGAAGTGTCACAATACCATAACAACAACTTGATTTTTTTGTTTTAAAAATGTCCGTTTCTTAAGACACCTTATCAAGTTTTGCTCTGAAAAAAAAAAAAAATGAATCCTTATCAATTCATCCTTTTACTTTTCTATAAAGAGCCTTAGTCATGGAATATATTTCTAAATTAACCTTCCACCTCTCCAAATCTCTGCTACCAGACGACAACCTTCAGGACAAATTTAAAGCGTTACTGCTCAGGAGAAAACAAATACACCTCCTGTGTGGCTGTTATGTCATTATTCCACAGCTTTGACTTTGGTTCTGGGTGTTTTGTTTTCATAACTTAAAGTCCAAGAAGTGTCTAGTCAAACTGGCACTCAGCTTTTTCTTTCTTTCTTTCTTTCTTTAGGTGTTTACAGAAGCTTTATTTATAATTGCTCAAACTTGGAAGGGCACTCAGTTCTCAAGCGATTCCTGCTATCTTCTCCTTCAGCTTCACCCATCGGAGGGATATGCTTGGAAGACTGTGAGGAAACCCCACAAAGCAAGGAGGGTTAAACTGGGTTTTAAACTCAGTGTGTAAGTGAAGGCAGGTACCTTGTCTCTCCAAGCAAGGCCTTCTTAGCTGCTAAGTGCCAGAGCTACAGGAGGAACCAGCCATGCACAGCTAAGAGCTATGGGAGGTGTCTAAAAGCAAAGGACCTGACTGATTTTATGAGTAGTCCCTGCAAAAGTCCATTCCACTGCCTTGTACATCTTGTAATGCTCCCCACCCTGCACCTACATGTGCACACGTGTGCATGCACATGCACACACACACACATTCCCTTTTTGTCATTACTAGGGCTCCAGAGCTTGATCCCTCTTCATCATCAAATTTTTTGGGGGGGCTTTTATGCTGTATAGAACACTTTACCACATTCTGGTTAAGAAATGAGGCCTTGCCATAAGTGGGCATCCAATGCATTTTGGGGAATTTACTCAGTGCATTTTGGGGAGTAATTTTACTTTACTTTTTTTTTTGTAGAGACGGGGTTTCACCATGTTGACCAGGATGGTCTCGATCTCTTGACCTGATGATCCACCCACCTCAGCCTCCCAAAGTGCTGGGATTATAGTCATGAGCCACCACGCCCAGCCTACTTTTTTTTTTAAATTACTCCCTGTCGGGGAATCAAACCCCAGTCTCCTGAGTCAGGCAGGGATACTAACCACTATACAAATGAGGATACTTTAATTACTTTAAACGAGGATACTCCCCAAAACGTAATTTTACTTTAATTACTCCCCAAAATGCACGGAGTAATTTTACCAGATTACTAGTGAAAGTACAGGCTGTGAGCTATTTGTTGGGTGGGCCACAGGGAGGCAACTTCAAGGGCTGGGGGGAAGTCTATTGGATTAGGTAAGAGGATTAGCAGGTGTCTGTGAAACCAGCATTGCAAAATTATAACTGAGACAATGAAAGAGATCTGACCTAATATCTTGCTTCTAACCTCCAAGCTGTCCTTGTTCATTCCTGGGCATAGTCTCAACTAATTTGGGGGATCTTAGTTTTTAATTTATAGTTTAAAACAAAGATAACAGCACTTCCCTAAAACAAACCTTCTTTTTGCCTGGGGACTAGACTGTCCTTGTAGGACTAACAAATTAACCACAAGAGTAGAAATCTTGGTTTAGGAGTCACGCAGCTGGAGGATTCTGGCCCTTCCCAAATTGTTCCTATGGATAATGTCACTATTGTGAAATGTAATGTTAGTACTTTAGATATTTGCAGACCATGCACTTGATAGATCAGCTGGCACTGCCTGGATTGATAAACTGGCTCAATCTGATTTTGTGGCTCCTTACACAGGAACTGACTCAACCCAAGAAGACAGCTTTGACCCCCTGTGATTTCACCTCCAATCCAACCAATCAGCACTCCTGACTCACTGGATTTCCTGCACCCACCAAATTATCATTGAAAACTCCAATCCCTGTATGCTTGAATGCTTGGGGAGACTGAATTGAGTAATAATAAAGCTCTGGCCTCCCACACAGCTGGCTCTGCGTGAATTACTCTTTCTCTATTGCAATTCCCTATATTGATAAATTGGCTTTGTCTAGGCAGCAGGCAAGGTGAACCCATTGGGCAGTTACAAATTTGGGGCTTGCCCGGGATTGCCCTTGTGGCTACCTGCCTATGGTTTGGTAGACCCCTTCCAGCAACAGATCCAGAGGCCAGCCCAAGTGGCCACCTCGTTCTTTTGGACTGCAGGCTGACTCTGGTACTGTCCCTACTGGTGGGGTGCTGCTGATCCAATGTGCATGGATTTAAGTGTAATAGAAAATTAGTCCTGGGAGATGTCTCATAACTGTAGTTCCATGGTAAGATGTCTGTCTGTAGCTCCATGGTGGAATACTTGTTGGGAGCACCATGGTGGGGTGTCTGTCTGTAGCCCTGTCATGGAGTGTCTGTAGCTGTAGCCCCATTATGGGGTGTCTGATTTGATGAGTATTCTAGGTGCTGTCAACAGCCCCTTCCTTCTCCTATTTGTCAGCCTCTCTGGAGGTGCTGCTGTCTCTTGATTGCCTCATGGGGTGTCTGTCTATAGCCCCATCATGGGGTGTCTGTCTTTAGCCCCATCACAAGGGGTCTGTCTAGAGTTTCATTATAGGTGTCTGTCTGTAGTCCCACTACAGGGTGTCTAATTGGATGGAGAATAGGGGACTTGTTTGGAGGAATACTCTTGGTTTGTGACTGGGTCTGGAATCTGTGTCTCAAAGGCCTTCTGTCTGTTTTGTCTTGGTTGTGTGTGTGGTGGGATCTCTGAGGGAATTGCTGATGGATGTCCAGCAGGCCTAACTTGGAGAACCCTCCATAAGTTGGGTTACATCTGGTGAGCCCTGAAGAAAGCTCAACAGGCCTGATGTGGGGTGACTGTCCACTCTTCATCTTGCCCAGAGACCACCCATTGAATACCAGTTGGAGGTCATCCCTCTCCACCTGGAGTGGATCAAAGACTACAGGAACCAATATGAGATAGTTTGAGCCTTGCCAGATCAATATTGGGTGCCAAATGAGGTGACTAGTGTCTGTTTAGTTATGCAAATTTTGCTTTGGCTGGGATGGAAAATGGTAATTCAGTTCCCCATGCAACCCGTCAGGCAGCATCTTGCAAAAGTGAGAAACTTTTGCCTAGTTTCATAAAACAGAAAGGGATGATTTTCTTTTGTAACAGGGCTTGGCCCCCAGGTATGGTACACTGAGCAGGTTCATCAAAAGCTGCTCTATTTTTCTGGAAGCTGCAGAGAAAGGGAACATGGAAACCTGGTATGCTGTCAAAAAGAGTAAGAATCTCTTACCAGCCAAGTTTCTGGTCTTTCTTTTCTTCTCTTTCTCCCTCTCTGTGTGTAAATGGTAAATATCACTGTTTGTCTCCTCTATAAGAATCTGATTAGTAGAAGAAAGGATTTGTGAGACTAGTCTTAGGCTGTAGCAAATCTGGTGCACTTTGTGCTAAGAATTTGTCTTTCTGTGCTGTTCTGTAATGAAGAGAAGAGTATCACAGGATAGAATTTCGGTTTAGGATCCCCCACTTTTCAAGACAGCCTGGAAGGCTGCTCAGTTACAACTTTGCTGTGTGTCCCTGAAATCAACACCAGATGAAATTTGTCTTGTTTTGTGTCCTTAAGGGCCTCACCTTGTGACCATGTGGGGATACTTTCTTTTGGTCTCTGCCATCCAGAGGACAGGAATTTGGGGGTTCATGTCATAGTTAACCCTAAAAATTATCTTGAGCAGTTAAAAGGCTTTGCAAGCTCAAAATTGCCTGCCCTAGGCTTCTTCTAGGAAGAGCAATAGAAACTGCTCAATGCCGTACTCAGTAGCTAAGGGCTTGTCTTTTGACAATGGCAGCCTGGGTTCAATTCTTGGCTTAGGGAATTAGTCCTTTCTGGTTTATTTGCATAACTTTTTGCCACTTATTCTTTTTCCCCTGTGGACCACTTTTGATTTCCTGTCTTGAATTTTCCTTTGAACTACCTTTGGGAAGACTCTAAATCTTGTTTAAGAAAAGAAAAAAAAAGAAACTGCTTACTATCTCTTTGAGACACCTTATGCATCCATCATAACCTTATTTAAAACATTAACTTTACCTGTGGTAAAGTTCAAAAGCAAGGAATATTGACTGTCTGACCTGGCTAGAGTCTACTAATTAGATATTTAAAAAATAATTTATTAAAGAGCTGTAAGGTTAAAATCAATTTCATTAAAAGCAGATATCCAAACTGCACATATATTTAAAAGACCTTTATGTTGTTTTTTTCTCTTCTTGGATCTTATTATTATTTAAAAAGGGTTTTTTAAAAAATGAAAATTGCCAGGAAAAAAATTAAAAAATAAAAATAAAGGGTTTTTTTCTTCTTCTCAGTTGACTGAATTGTTTTTCCTCACTTTTGTCTTCTCAACACTCTTGATGCCCACATGAGAGAACCTAAAATAAGTTCTAAAAGCCTGGGACTCTTAGGAAAAAACACAGGAGGTGCCACAGACCCATTCTGGGGAAAAACCTCCGTTTTCCTTATGGAACCTCAGGAATTGAAAGAGAATAGATTCCTCTTAAAATCCAAGGCTGTGTTCTGTATTGCATTACATTACCTGACATTTGTGACTTTGGAAGGTATCAAAAATTACTTTGCCTTATGGGAGATCTTTTAGTCTTGGTGTGTAATAACCAGGTAGGAAATATACTTTAAGGGGTAGGTAATGGCAGTTAGGAGGGATACTTCACTCTTGGATTTTTGGATTAGAGAAGTATGCTCTTGGCCACCTGAAAGGTATAGAAACAGCCCCACCCCCAACTGAGAGGAGACTCCTATGGGGGATGGGCTGATTACAAAATGGGCTGATTGGCTTTGGCTTGCTTTGCAGTGACATGCATGGCAGAATCATTGCACTGTCATCTCCGATAGTATATCCCTGTTTCTGGGGATCCGGATGCAGCAGACAAATGGCACCCTTAATTTTGGGGATATGTTTTTGCCTTCCAGCTGTGCCTTCTTATTAGGCCCTAGAAACAGCATGCTTTCCTGGTGCTATTCCTCCAAGGGTACCACCTTGAATCCAGTAATCCAATTAAGAAACTGGCAAATGAAAAATCTTACAACTATGAGACCTTCTGTCTGTCTATGTATACGTGTTGTGTGCATGACATATATATAAAAGAGCTCTGACTAATTGGCTTAGAAAAATAAACACATCAAATATTTTGTCAGAAAAATAGAAATTTTTAATGCTTTTTTGTTCACATGATGTTAGTGATCTTTTGGAAATAAAGACAGTTTTAAAGATTATTGGTAAAATAGAAAATGTCTTCAAAATTCAGACATTTGGTATAAATTAGGTCAGATGTCAGGTTTGCTAAATGCTTTAGGTTCTCTGACTTTTGAAAATTGTTAGACTTGCCTACTTTGGAGCCATTAGAAATTCTAACTAAGGCCTGGGGACATGTGGAATTAGCCATGCCCTCTAGCTATGCTGGAGTCAGACCTTATCTGCACTTCTGTCTGATGTCCTAGGCTCCACACTTAGTACATAGTTCAAACCACTTGCTAATCAGGTTTTTCACCAGAAACAAAAGTTACTAAGAGTTAACACTGTAACATGAAATTGAGACTACTGGAGAAATAGTTTTGCATACAAGGTGTGTAAGGAAAGTAGAATGTGCTTTTGGTAAAAGATTAAATAAGGTATGGGAATATGGTTTTTCTCAAAGGGAATGTAATTAATGTATAGTTCAAAGGGTTTTAAAGATTGTCTTAACCTAAAAGGTAACAGGACAAAACTGAAGGTTTAAGCAAGTTGAAAAGTGTTTGTGGAGGGTTGGTCTTGTACAGAAAGTTCTGTGGGTAGGAGCAAGTTGGCTAAGATTTGAAGAGGACTTTTTTTTCTGTGGGTTGAACATAAAAGCACACTAATGCAAGGCCAGAATCTTGGCCCATGTGTCTGAATAACAGGGTTTTCTTAGAAAATTAACCTGTTGTTTAATGAAAAATTAACAACAGGGGTCTTAAAAAGTTCATAAAAACATCACCTTATGGTTGAACTAATTAAAACTGGATAATTTATAACATTTTATTTAAAAACTAGTTTTAGCATTAAAGAGGCACTAATGCAAACATGAGATTTGGATTTATGTTTTGGGACATAATAACACAAAAAGATTTTTTGTGTTATTCTGTCCCAAAATTATGATATGACTTAGTTAGTAT